AGCTCTCAAACTATGTTTTCGGTTTGTTTTCCCTACTTTGGTTCTGGGTACCTTTGGTTATCCGAAGAGCCGTTGATCCAAATTTTCGCTTTCAATGCTTCCACACGCGACTGCTTAGTTGGGTCCACTGGTCACTCTATTCAGTAACGATCTCGGTTTTCTTAGGACGATTATATGACTGTCTTTCCGATACCATCTTGTCTGCGAATCTCATATCAGCTTAGTAAATTGAAAGCCAAGCGAAATGATATGCCGGAACGAATGGCCTCACGTCTCCCTTAGCACCAGACCCTTTCATCGAGGAGGTGGATTCCGTAGCAAGGTGTATAAGTAGTACCAGAACAAAAGTTTGACGGATCCAACTGGAAACGGCCATGCTGGAGCTATGGTCACCATATGGAGGCATACTGCATTCACTAGTTTACCATCCCTGATCCTCGTCTAAGTGAAGAAGCAAAGGCTCATTGGTTATCTCAAAAGGTTCAACTTCACAATCTGTTCCTCCTACTGTCCGGTACTTCCATCCCGAATAAACAAAGCTGTACCTGGAACATTTCAGTCTTCCCGTACTGTTTCTTGTCTCTCAAGCGACATTTGGAGGATCTGAAAAACGACGAATAACGTGCAACTAATAGTTGGTTCAAATTGGTGGACTTTGTGGTGTTCACCATAATCAATCGGGGAGTCTATCTCAAGTGACCGCCAAAACTTATATATTCATACTCGGATGTCCGTGACTGTGTGTTGGCTCCAATAGACTATATAATGGTCGTCAAGTCCACCCATCGAGGTAAATACGTACGTGCTGCCTGACCGTGTTCGGCCGATTTCGAATCGCAGAGCTTTTATCGTATTATCCAACTTCTTTACCCTCACTCCGTATTGCAACTTTGCAATGTGTTCGCTCCCATACTACCGACCAAGTCAAGTAGCAATGTCTTATGTTTATCCTGTTTTCCCATTCAGATTTTTACGGACGACAACAGCGTCCCCGCTATCCTGCGCTCGGGAACAAATGGCACCAATCCCAGGATCACACATCTCTGCCATTCTTAACCGACCAATCGCGTATGTTCGGCTCTCATCCTTTCAACGCATACACCTTCTCTGGCCCTATGACTCCCGAGCCCGTTTTGGCTTCTGCGCCATTTGGTTCCACTTCTGGATCTTACTCCCACAATCCGGTTATCGTCCACCCATCTGGCACCAGCACTGTTGGTCCACCCTTCACTCATTCGTGGCCATCCATCCCGTTCGTATGGGATCACGCCTCGTTTTTGAATCGGCCATTCAATGTAGATCCTCCCCGTCGACAAAGTTCTGCAATATCTCATCGGCGAAATCAATCACGGCGATCAGCAGCAACATCGTCAGCAGGGACGGTGAAACACACTGAACCTGTGGTTTCCCAACCCATACAGTCTGAAATCCCAGAATCGGTAGATACAGCCAAGGTACGGTCATCCTTAATCAATGCGTCGCGTAGCTTTCATTGATTTTGGACGCTGAATATTCCGTTGGTCTTGTATATGTGGGTGGTTTAGCAACTGCGCCCATACTACAGTGGGAGTTTGCCGCTCGTTTTCTTTTCACTCTGATTTCCTTGTTCTCACTTTATACCTCTAATAGCGTAAAAGATGAAGTGTACTAAATGAAACATCTGGTTGATTTGCTTGGTCACGTTGCTCACTGGGGAGTCCTACTCACTTTGTCTATTCTTGTTGGTCAGTTAGGATATCCGTACCAGCCAGATATAACTGTACAAGGATTTTCCTATTAATCACTCCACATACTATACCTCAGCTTCTCACTCAGTCCGTCTTCTATGTTTCTTCTTTCTTTTGCATTATCACAGAACATCTAGTCTAACAGATTAATAACCAGTTTGTGATACCGAGATAGGTCAGTGGTTAGGGCTTGAACTTACTGACCGGAGGGTCCGTCGTTCGAAGCCAACCTCAGCATCTCGACCACTCCTGTTTACGCTTGGACAACCTGACGGTGTGTCAGCCCTCGTGCTTCCTTCGGGTGGCATTGCAGCTATGCATCAATTGATTTGGTTGATTGGTACCAAAGACATCAAGACGAAAAAATTTTACTATGGGGCACTGGTGTATGAGGAACAGGAAAATCGACATACCAAATATCGGTAGAGTTGAAAGAATCAAGACGGACAGCATCTTGGTGGCCACACAGGCCATCGTTAAGGAATGGGCTCATTGGTTAAGGCGCCAGCTTACGGGCCAGAAGGCCCGTGGTTCAGATCCAACCTCTGCATCTCGACTGCTCCTGGCCGTATCCCAGCCCTCGTGCCTCGTTTCGTTGGCATAGCAACTTGGCATTGAAAGGTTGCTGCAGTTGAACGACATAAGTGATTGGTTACTGAAACAACCTAGTAGAGGCAATGTTCGAGATGGTGGTATTCGATTGGAGCGCAACTTACCTGGATTTCTTAATGTCTAGCTCATTTTGCGTTGGTGCCAGTCGATTGAAAATTCGGTCCCCATATTTGGTAATGATATCTACCTCTTGATTCACCTCATATCACCTCACCTTGAATCCGAATGCATGCTATGATTAATAAATAAGAATAAAAAGATAACAGTTCATCTGTAACACCCTTTTGATGCCTGACTGCTATACCGCTCGAAGGAAGCACGAAGGCTAGGATACTGCCAGGTTACTCGAGCCTAGGCAGTGGAAGTCAAGAGGTGGGGGTCGGGTTCGAACTACGGACCTTCCGGTCAATAAATTCGCGCTCTAACCACTGAGCTGTCTCACATGCTCTGATGACCGAATCGCACGTTTGATGTGGTAAGAACATGACAGGTTCTTAAGAACAGGATCGAGTATGGTCCATGACCACTTGCCGTTCAAATGTGGAAACCAGAGGATGTACGGATTCATTTTTGGGGGAAGTGTTCAATTCGTACGTACTTTGTCAAGAATGGCCAGGCTGACGACGTCATTTCGATTGATGACGAAGCGTTTGCAACCTGGTTGTCCCTTTCTGGCGGATTTAGTGAACTCGGGTTGGCCCGTTTTTCAAGGCGCCTACTTATTGGCCGAAAAGTCCGTGGTTCAAACCCAATCTCAGCATCTCGACTACTCCTGCCTACGTTTGGACAGTCTGGCAGTATTTCAGCCCTCGTGCTTCCTTCTGGTTTTATGGCAGCTAGATACCGAGAGGGTGTTACAGTTGAGCTACTATGAAAGTATTATAATGTAGTGAACTAATCGGTGACCAACTCACGATGGATGCAGCATCCTAGTGGTGCTCACCGTCAGGGATGCGCTGAGATAGTATGTTGCTGTCAACTTTGGAAGGAAATTCTGGGCCTACAGGCTTATGGAGGTGAGTGAATGAAGAATAGTGAGGGAAGTGAACCTATCAAGGACGTATGCACATAATTGCCCAACGTGTCCTTCAGGTTATTTTATCGGGATCTACGATGAGTCGCTATCCGGATGGTGGTTTCTGATTTTGCAAAAGAATGACTGATAATTTCCCCATTAAATCCTGGTCGTAATCCGGTCGTTTATCGGCCTACGTCGAGCAGATTTAAACAGCTGATGTGTTCTTTACACAACCTTGGTATGCACGAAGATAGCACGATCGACGCCGATCCGAGTGACTAGATTCAATAGCGTTTTTTGTGTGTGCTGAAATCATCTGTGCTGCAATATTCTCTGCCAACAGGAATGTGGTGTATAAGGGACAAACTACCGGACTCAAAATGACTGATGTTAACAACTTCCTTTCCTCACCCATACCGGAAGGCTTCGTTGGAGGCATGTTATGCCGATGTCATAACATGTCCTTATGCTCCGGCGACCCGACAAAATTGTGACTCACTTTTGAGGTGAATAGCGGTAGCGTGGATTGTTTCCCGGTCCACTAAACTGAAAAATTTCGCAGTAGATTTCTTCAGCAAGCAAACTGGCATCACCACTGAGCTTCGTTTGAGCTTCTATCTACGCGGAGTCATCTTTGGGACGTCCGAGTATTAAATTAGTCGGTTCCCAGCTCAGAACTTAAGGTTGATATCCCCATCAATGCCACTCGTTTTTTCGACTTTATCCAACTCCTTTTACCGCAAAACTTTCAGATTTTGAGCACGCATCACCGAAAGCAGTTGCTCATGGAATATATGCATAGTATCGATTTGGTACAAAAAGGAATCAGAAGTACTCGCACTTAGCAAATACCATTCTAGAATGCTTCTAAAAATAAATGTTTTGTAACGATTTGCAGTGCTGCCGCTCTTGATCAACGTAAGCCAGTGCTTTGTCGGTCCTTGCGTAACTTATGCAGTGGTCCAGCTCCTAAGTTATTCCGTCCATCCAGAATTGTTCTCCACAATAGATCAAATGTTTTAAAGGACCCGTCCACATTACATACGCGCTGGCTATTTCCGACAGGATTCTTATCGACTCTTTGCTGGACCAGTCCGCTCAAAGGCGTTTCGCACTTTGCGGGTTGCCTTTGTAATGAGCGCGTTTTGTGAACTCAACAGTGTCACACTGCCTGAATGACGTGTATCGACAATAATCTGATCAGTTAACCTCGAGATAGCTCAGTGAATAAGGTGCCAGCTCACGGACTTGAAGGTCCATGGTTCGAACCCAACCTCAGCATCTCGACTGCTCCTGTCTAGGCTTGGGCAGCCTGACGATATCTCAGTCCTCTTGCTTCATTCAGGTGACATGGCAGCTGGGTACAGAAATGGTGCTACATCTGAGCGATTTTTTAATTCCACCAATGTAGGAGCTATGAAGTGGAGCCATCAGTGCATTTCTCAAAAAAATCTCTTCTAGATGCCTACTTGGATTTACTTTATGGGACTGCTTAAATGGGCACAGGTATGCACTATGACCGGGGCGCGCCCAGTTAATACATTAACGGTTATCTCTTCCTAAATTCGATGTCAAAGTTGTTCAGAAAAGCTTTCAAGGACTTTGCGCACTGTGCAATCCAAAACAAGTCATCGACGATTCTATCATGTATTCTTTGGTTCAGGCTGAGTCATTATCTCATATAGAACAGCGGATTTTCTAGCAGAAACTACAACAAACTGTAACCCTTCTGAGGTCAGGGCGAATCGTCTTGTTGAATTTCGTTTTACAATCGGGAACCTCATGTCATAGTCAGCCGACTGCGTTGGACACAGGAAAGCCGACGGATTAGACGGTTCATGCGGCTTCGTTCCAACTACAAACTGAACGCGTTCAATCAAGGCACGATAGTCGGGTTTCATCCAGCCTGTAAGCTACTGTAGGTTTATGTTAAGTTATAAATAACTGCAACTGTCCGTTGTAGTGGTCACGATATTCCTGTGCTTGGCAGGCCTTTTTGATACATGATCACAGACGTGTGGTCGCATGACGAACAGGCGTGCAGGCTTTCCGGTGTGTCCACCCCAGATATACACATCCTGCACGGAACAAGCTTGTGAGGAGTGGGCGGTGTGTGTGTGTGTGTGTGTGTGATGCTTGAGGGTTTTTGTGCATAACCCGTCTAGGTGACACTCTCATCAGCACTGTTTCCCCTAGCTGGAAAATACTTTACTCTAATCGTGTTTCGTGTTCAAACATCACGTATCACGCATGTATTTCGAGTAGCACCTCCTGTAAACCTGAGCTTATAAGTGACCGATCCTTGTCCAGCTTACGTTGAATCTATACACAGATGCTTTCTTTGCGTTCAAACAGCTTTTTCAACATTCTCCCCAAGATATTCGTCTTCGTCAGTTGCATGCTCTGGTTACAATGTGGAATGTCTGCTGAGAAATTTTTTTTATTGTTGCATCATGGATCGTGTCAAGGCACTCGTGGTTACTAAAACGACTGACCGTATGTGGTGCGTCCGTGCCTGTAGTAATCCAGTACATTATCCCCCTCCTAATAGGGAGCAACCGTGGAGCAGAATCATATCGATTAATTTTAGGGATGCCTACATGTACCTCCACGCTTACTTTCGGTCGATTACCTCGTCAGACAGGATTCGTCGGCTCCACGCTACTTAGGCATAACAACCGGCTACCGGATATGCACAAATCGCGACCTAGTGGCAGACTCCGTAGACCGCATGAAGACCAATATCCCGCTTCGATTGACTTTCTCGCATTTCGCTACCCGAAGCATTGCTGGGGTTCGAGTGTCCGAAATGGCACTGGAACTGAATCAAACCAACAGCTCATAAAGTGGAACACTTCATACCGTGGGTAAAACCGCCGTTTGGGTAGTTGTCATTCGAGGAGCCAGCCAACAAGTGACCATGGGGTTTGTTTCCCGTGACTGAAGGATGAGTGGCATTATATCGTGTCCAAGTGCGAATTGATCACATTGCTGATCAGCAGCCTGTGGCAAGGGTCAATTATCCAAACTTGGGTGTCGGAAGTTCGAAACTTCCTGGAGTTTCGTAAGATGCACACTACTGATGATTATCAATAAGGGTGAAAGAACTGCATGGTGCCTCTTCGCTTGTCAGCCGACAGAATGAGAGAACAAAATCTCAGTCAGCAGTAAAATTCTGCCCGGCAACCTGCAAAGGGTGTAGCTTATATTTGGATTAGGCTTCACTTCATTCTGTTCTCATTGAACGGAAAACCAGGTTCCCGTCCGTTTTCACTTTCTGCAGTTTTACTGGTAGTATGATCCAATGAGCAAATTTCATTCATATCCCCATGCGTATCCAAGTATATCCAACTACAGAACGACATTTGTGTGCAACCTGAACTTGACTGTTTAGTAGTACTTTTCACCTGGGTACCTGAGGCGGGCACTATTGAGTTCAATTGTTTAGTTCCTCTCATTTAAATCTGTAAACAACTTGCCTCAACGCCCTAGTATTCAAGAGCTTTTTAAGCCTATAGCGGTGCCAGAATTGACTTTCTGTGGTCACTACTATATGGACCCCTTGTCTAGGCTTGGGCAACTTCCCAGCCCTCGTGCTTCCTTCCGTGGGCATGGACGTAAATAAGTGATGACCCAAACTATTCGGCCAATGGGCGGTACAAGCCACTATCTGCATCCGTTGTGTGTTCCAATTGCTTAACTGTTTCTATCTGATTTGCTAATCATCAGCTATCAGTTGGATGTACTGGTGGCCTTAGAAATACAATCTTCTGCTCGTCCCATCTTACTTTATCGACTTTAAACCAGACAACGTGGCTGTTCTGAAGTTCTTTTTAATGCGACCTGGCTCAGATTGCCTCTGGCTTTACCAGTCGATCGATGTAGGTTGATATGACAGACAGATCGAGAGACGCATGTCGACCCACAATTTCTGTGTTACTGACCGGAATGTCTGTGGTTCGAACCCGACCCTTGCCTCCCGACTTCCTCTGTCTAGGCTTGAGTAACCTGGCAGTATTCCATCCTTCGTGCTTCCTTCGGGTGGCATGGCAGCCAGGCACCGAAATGGTTTCAGAGCTGGACGATGTCAAAATCACTACCATGTCCTACTGTCTTACACTATCTCCATGTTTGTTTTGTTTTGTTCCAGTCGGTCGCAGAGCCAACGAATGAGGAGTAACTCTGGTGATCCTGTCCTCGTCCTCACTCAGGCACACCTGGTACTTTCCCCGAACCCGGTTATCTCTTCAAGTTGTTGTACAGCTCTACCGATCTTGCCTATGCTGTTGTTACTTCTTGTTTTCCCTCTCTCTCTCTCTCTATCACACACCCAAACACGCACCAGTTTCTAAGCCTTCCTTATTTTGTGAATAGAGCTGTGAACACACAACAACCTACACACACACACACACACTCACCCACTTTGGTATTATTCTCTTCCTTATTACTGCACGAACTCGTTTGCCTGTTCAGCTTGCTACTTCTACCCTTGCTTTTGTCCACTTGAGCCGTCTCCACTCCCGATGATGTGTTACTGGATCACTGTAGTAACCGCTCGGGTTTACTTTCTCCCTATTATTCACCTGCTCTGTTCTTTTCCAAAAGAAAGTTTCACCGTAGGCTTCTTAGGTCATTTCTGTCCCGCTGGTATCACTTCAGTAAAGCGCTCTTCGAGTGCTTCGTGTGCCTTGTCCTCTCCGTGCTTTTCTTGTGAGACCACGGTTTCCTCACCAAAAACGTGCTAATTTTGTCCGTCCACTAGCCTGACTGACTTTGCTAGGCTATTTGCCCTTTGTCCGCTTGTCGCCTCTCTCTCTGCTTCATCCCTTTCAGGTGGTTTCTGTGTGCCGCTTTGTTTGTTTCCCAAAGTGGATGAGCTGAATCAGTTGAACGATCACCCCGTTTTCAATTCGTACTATGACGGGCCACTTTGTTGATTGCTTTCTATCCACCAAATACCAGCTCATCTACATCGTGTTTTTTGCTTCACTAGCTATCCACTTTCGGTTATTCTCTCCCACCCACCTTCCGGCAGTCTTGTTGACAACCCCACATCATACTCCTCATATGCATGTTTGTACTTGTAATTTGACGTTTGCGCGCTTTTTGATGCGTCAATAAACCGATGTGTAGTTCATATCCGTGGGTTTGTTTTCTTCAGGAAAGCTTTTTAGTCAATTCAGCTCTCAGTAGTTGAGAGCGCTTAGTGTGGTTGGTCGATCTACTCGGAAGCTGTCACAGGCAACCATGAATTGTTCATTTTTGGTCCAGTCTCAACCCAAAGCATACTGCGGCAACCGGACTGTCGTTATCAGTCGCATGTGGATTATTACGAATAGACTCATTCGCCCAGTAAGCTTGAGCTTCATGATGCGTCGGTGGGGCATAGCTGTTAGTTGGAACGCTGTCCGAACGCGCAGTTCGGATTGTAACGTCTTCGAAACCTATCACCATCACCTACTGCGTGTAGTCTTTGGAAAGTAAGATTCTAACGTTTGAGACTGTTGGGTTACACAAGTGCTGCGAAAGACAGATAATATCAGGTTCCAGTGGAGCCGTCATGTAGAGCGTTGCAATGACGTTACAGTTGACAATGACTGAAAGGAACTTGCATGCCTCAGCAAAGAAATGGGTGAAGCTAGGTTGATGAAAGCTGACTCAATAGTAGTGAGTCTTTTTCATAAAAGAAAACTACCCACAAGGCTGCTGAAAACTCTTCGACAGCCTACGACCGGTTTCGCCCTTCTTGGGGCTCATCAGGTAGGCGCAGCCCCCGAGTTTCCGTCAACCTTATGATCTATTTGAACCCAAATTGCATTGTTTTCGAGAAATACACTCATTTGCAAATCAGTTTGGTTCTCACCAGAGACTCTGTACTGGTGGAAGCAATGTGATGATGAAAAGTTGCTCGCCATTTGTCTCATCTCGTTGCGTCATATTGGGTAGGACGTGAAGCTACCGACCGGTTCGAACCCAATCCTGACATCCCGATTGCTCGTAGCTAGGCTCGAGCAGCTTGGCTATGTCTCGGTTCCTAAGCTTCCTTCGGGTTGCACGACAAAGCATTAAAAGGGTTTCACAGCTGAGCTGTTATTGTTATCTTGTCTGGTGGGCACAATTCTCGAATTTCCATTCATGTTTACTCTACTTGTACGTTAGTTGAATAGGTCGTCGGTTCTGCAAACGGATAGCACGAGCACAACGATCTAACCACTCACTAGTTTATGATGTTCGCCAGCCGACTGTACAGATCAACTAGTCTCTGTGACAAACATTAAATGGACTGAGCAACTCTAAATCGCTGTTATCAAACGGGCGGCTTTGGAGACGATAAGGTTTCAACCCATACATGTTACACTATCCCGTTGCTGGTCAAAAGACGAACAGAATGAGATGTGTGCGTACTTCGTGCTGACCGTTTCCAATCGCCTGCGTGTAATAATCACGTAGTACAGTGAGTTGTGGTTTGACGGCTCCATCATCGAAACACTGCCATTACTCGTTTCGTGGAACGTTTTCGAACCCGACTTGATGTGAGACCTTCCATTCCGCTGTTGGTATCAGTTATGGCCCTTGTAACCAAGACGCTGAAGAGGTGTTCATGTAAGTTGTCCTCTCCATACTAAACCGTTATTTGGTACATTCAGTAAACAGCAGAACTATTTCATCCAACTCTTCTGCTTTAGCGAGAATTCGATCTGGTTCCGAAAGGCTCAGTTGAACGAGACCTTCCCCCATTCAGATTTCTCAAGTGGGCTTAGAAGATCGAACACGTCCCCCTTAGTTAACACTTTCAACCTGCTCCCGGAGGTAATTTCTGTCGGTTTACCCGTGATTGCCAAGTCGAGTTCGACAGTTGAACTAAGCTTTGTGTGAATGAGTCATTGATGCGGATCTTGCA